GTAAAAGTAACTATCTATTTTTTTCTTAAGCTCAAGAAGATATCATTTGGCTTACTAAATTGTGATCCCCACCACTGCAGCCTCCTGACATATTTCATAGCAGTAACGTGATCTGCCGAGAATTCTGTTTTTTATTGCTTTAATAAAAAAGGAACTTGCTTGGATTACTGTTTCACTAAAATATTTATCAGCTTCTTTTTCATCGAGGACACCAATAATGCATTCCTTTATATTTATTTAGATGAGCTCTATGGTATAAACAATTTCAGTTAATTTATGATCACTTATCTACTACTGGAAATTTCTTTGACCATATCTGGCACCAAATGCTGTCCACATAAAAGTGGTTTTTAGTCTGGACAGCATAAAACAGCTTAAACTCTAAATAAAATGATCTACAGATGATTTTTTCCTATATACCTTCGGTAAAAAACAAAGTATTTTTCAGGGAAAAACAAGTGGGAAAATCAATAATTACTTCTGACTGTAAGTAAAGTTGGAAAAAGTCAACTGTGTTCAAAAAGCTCAAATAAAAAACATTAGGATTCTGGAATATGTTCGTAACATTTGTATTTTTCAAACCTTTCAGTAATTTTGAGCCAGACCAACAAGCTTGTTATAGTAATTTATTATCAACGTATTTTTAAAGAAAATACCTACATATTTTCTTATTTATTATGTGGATTTTTGATGTTTAAGATTTTGTATAGGGAAAGTCTTATGCCTCAACAATTCAAATCAAAATGAGATTGTGCTGAAAACACTGTTTGATATTCAGCAAGGTCTTTCTGATTAAATATAGCATACAATTAGTTAACAGTAGCAGGATACTGTCCAATATATAATCACTCCATGACAGTTTACTTTAAAATTAAACGTGCTTATTGCCAGAATATTTTAATAGCTCTTACTATTGCTCTTTTTTAACGTTTTCCAGATATTTCCGTTCTGTGACTCAAGTAAAATGCAATGAAAAAAATATTAATATAAGTTTCAAATGAGGTGTTTGGCATATTTCTGCCTTAACTTTCTATTGCAATATGATCTGTTTGATTAGAAAGACATTACGTTTTTTTCCTGCCCTTCAAAAGATTTAATGCATATATGCTATACTTTAAAGTAAAAAAGTCAAATTGACTTTTTCATACCTTACTTTGTGGCACTGATTTGATGTAACATATGTACGGTTCTGTGCAAAAGTATTAGACAAAATCAAAATTTCCAATATACAGTATGCACATCATTGACATCAACAACTTATTGAAAGCCTCAACTAGCGCTGTCTACTATTATAATAACTTTAAATGTTAATAAAGAAACCAGTTTTGCAATTTAGCAATCTTTTATTCACACTGATCATAATCTTCAAAAACCTGATAACAACTCAAGGTGAACTACACATGAGCAGGGAGTTGTTTTATTAAGTTGTTTAAAAATTTCTAAAAACATTCAACCAGCTTTGTATTAATCAAAACACACCAGTTATCTGAAAACACAATTTCCAATGTGTTTAACACATATTAGGCCAGCTAATATTAGAACAATGTGTTTTAATATTACTGTAGATTGTTAGGACAAGATATCGTGTTCTTATTGTATTGATGGCAATGACACAATAAAGAACTTGTGCAATACTTTTTGACCTACAAGTTTGTGCAGCTTCTAGAATTACAAGGTATATTATTCAGCAGTTAAAAGCATTCAGAATGCAAGTCAAGAGCATTAGCTTTTGATACAGTACGTTGATGAAAAAGATACAAATTCTTTTACAGAACAATGAAAAACATACTCAAGGCCCTCATGTGAATAATTAACATGTGGAAAATACATTACGGCAGAAAAGCTTTGCACTGTACAAGATGATATACACATCTTGGACGGCTAAGCAACCATGTCTTTAACTGCCCTGTGATACCCTGGATGCTGAGTTGACAATCAATAAAATGAACTTAAGTAAGCGATATCCTGGCCTTTCGTCAAAAACATTCAATGCATTCCATTTCCTGCAGACAAACATGGGTTAAAATAAAAACATTAATCCTTAATTTATTTCATTCTTTAAAATTATTTTTAAATGAATTTAACAATTATTTATTTCCTATTTTTGTACCTATGGTTAACAGTTAATCGACTCTGTCTTCTGTTACCACTCTTCTACCAGTGCAGAAACTCCTCTGACAGGTCCACATGTCATTTCACATGTTGTTAGCTTCAAAGTGTCTTACAGGAGAGTAAGCACTGATTGGAGGTTTATTCACTGAATCACACCAGTAGAAGCTCTCACTGTTCCCAGGAGCTTCTGTTATTCTACAAGAACACCCAACCCAACCTGTTTTTATCCAGCCCTGGCAGTGCTATAACAACTGTGGGCTGTCACCTGGGGAATCCTGTTGTACATTATTGTTTTTTACATGCCTTTGGAAAAACCACCAATGCAATGTATTACAAGATTTTCAGACTCAGTGCTAAAGAATACATGTTTTATTAGAACCTAATTTTATTATTAATTTACCTTGTTAATGTTAATGAAATACCTATGGAGATACAGTACAAAGCATTTAAGCATTTAAGCAGAATGGTACATGAAAAGTACAAACTACCACTGAAGTGATGTTTTGTAACTTCATCAAAACAACAGTAAATTGAAGCAGATGGGGATTACAGAACAGATGAATTTCCTTCAAGATCTGACACATTTGTAATGAAAATATATTAAAAATGCTAATGATCATAAACATAAGTTCCTGGTTTTCATAATCACTTAGGCTTGAAAAACAAACTTTATGTAATGTGAGAAAAAACAAAGGCTTTGAAAAATCTTTCAACAGCAGAAGAAGCCAAGCTAATCTTCCAAACCTCTTCAACATTTCTATGAACAGTTATGGTTGCTTCAGTTACTTCAGCACTGTAATTAGTGGTAGACGGAATCAAAGACTAAGAATATATAGTAAACATGGCTGACTACAATTTTATCATAAGGATTTTGCTAGCATGATTCTTCACAACACAAAACTCTTTCCTATAACCAATTTAATCTGCATTATGCTTCATACAAAATGTAGATTAAGTATTCCTTTACATTTTCTCCAAAGCCCCTGCTGATGCGTGTTTTCAGTGATGCTTTTTCTCAAAGGAAAACAGGCCACTACCTTTCAAAAAATAATCTTAATTATACTTGGAGACCTCTCTGTGCAATTTTTTTCTTCTTTAATGATAACAACACTGGAGCTGCACCTTTACGAATGTGGTTCTCTTTATACTTTTAAATGCATATTAGCCTTTTCTTAGGCTCTTTTACTGTTAGTCAGTGTGCAAGTAGAATTAGTGATGCAGCAACTCCCTTTGAACCTGTTGCTGTCTGTTAACACATGAAAGAGAACAGTAACAGTAGTAAGGAATCGAAGTCATTTAATTACACCAAAGAGAGACAGGCGCAACTGAAAGTGGTTTCTCAGTGGCTTAATAAAGCTAATTAGAGACATCAGATTTGAACCTTAAAGGGAGGATACAGAAATAAAAAACAACATTATTTATAGGATAAATAAAATATAGTGCACATTTATGCATTAATTTACCTAATTAGTGAATAACCCTTTCTTGAATTTGCTTGAATTTGTCAGAGTAGTGCAAAACAGAAGACTTCTCAGGCTATGTAAAGTGGAATTGGCATGCATTTTTGTCTTTATGCCAAACAGCTGTTTTACTTTCCTCAATCATTCAATCCCTTCCACTTTTGAAGAATTACATGCATAAGTTATTTCTGCTGGAATAGCTCACAGTCTAGTCAGAAGCCAAATTATAGCAACCATAGAGAAAATTGTAAAGAAAAGAAAAATAAAATCCTGATTATAAATTCTTTACAATAAAAATATTAAGATTTAAATACAGTAGTTCTGCTTTTACTGTACAGATGTTAACTCTATAATGGAACAATTAATTTTAAGTCCTGAGCTAAATTAATAATTGAATAATTGAGTTAACTCAAAATGACTTATCATTTTAAAGAAAAAGCCCCATTGTACAAATGGCACTGATTAATAAAAGCTTAAAAATAAGTAATGAACATGTTAATTCATGAAGTGGCCACCCCCTTTCTGTGTGTCATTATTAGTAAAAGATTAAGTATGATTAACAGCTCTCTGTTTATTTCTCTGGCAAAATAGTTTAAAAAACAATCCTAAAACCAAAGGCCTATGTTTTCTAGTAAGATAAACCTTTTACTAATGCATGGAATGCTTGTTCAAAGCGATCTCTCTCTTTAAATAGGTAATTTACCTTCCAATACAAATTTGATTATTCCCAATTACATACTACAATCTTTAAAGAATAAAATATTCATCTATGACAACATGTGGAAATGTGAAAAACAACATACTAATTTCAATATTTCTGTTAAATTAAAAATAAAAGCAAGATTTTAAACATAATAAAAATTGAAAATTTAATTTCAAAATTGAAACCATAATTTCCAAATGCAATTTCGTAGAACCTAAATAAGGCATGATGTGGTATCACTTAGAAAGGGAATTCATAAAATCAATTGAAAACTTAAGTAAGGTTAAATAATGTTTTAACTTACAGCATAAAATCTAAACATAATGGCAGAAACAGGAATACGTTAACATAGGAATTAATAATGCTTGTCATTACTGATGCTGTCAGATACATAAATAAATTGGTTACATTATTCTCTTTTCAATAACTCAATGTTAACCTTCATACACAAGCTTTCTAAAGACTCTTTTGTACTGAATATGATTATCAGGCATAAGCAGATCAACAAATGAAATGCAAAACAAAAAAATCAGTGAGCTACGAATGGCACATCTTGCCAAGATGGAAGTGTACTGGAATTTGTCATCACATTTTATGAAATGTTAATGGTCCAGTCATGTGAAACCAAAAGTGGAAGACCTGACTCAGTGTTTTATTGGGGGGGCATTGTTTTTATTAAGCATTCTTTTCAAAGCATTCAAAATAGAATATAAAACAATACTTACTGTCTCTGTGTTTCACATCTGCTTGGGGATCCAAGGCTCTAGAAAACATACAGTAAAAGAAAAATGAAAAAAATGTATGTATATTGACAGCAAGAAGACAATAAAACATATGTTTTAAGAACAATAATGTCAGTACATAATGAACGTACAGGTTAAAATTTATTTGGAGACATCAATATGCATACATTTCTAGTCAAACAAGCATCAAGAACTACTTCTGCACAGGTTGATAATTATAAAATATATTTTATTTGACAAGAGATTTAAAAGTAAACTGTATGTAGCTCTATATGCAGATTAGAAACCCAAATGCTTTCACCTCTACATTTCTGTTACACTATACAGTACATGCAAAATGAAGCAGTAAAGCATGATACTGTACTTTAAATCTTTCCATCTCTATCTTTTAAAACCTTGGAAAACAAAATTCTCTGTGTTGGGATCAACATCTTCCAGTCTTGTATTTAACAAGTTGATTTAAAAGCTTTGCAATCTTTGCAGGTCTTAAAACCAGGCTCCTGTTTCATTTAAATTGAATCATGTGGTCTGAAATTAGCCTTTGTAGACTTGCAGTTCGCCACAACACTTAACACAATCAGGCACCATGCAGATTGAAAAGACTGTTCTTGTTTTCACCTGTTGAAATTGGCATACGGAGAACAACAATCTGCATTTTTCCAGTAGAAAAATGAATTATGATGTGCTTGGTAAATTAATACAGATTAAATATTAAATATTACAAAATATGACACATACTGTAAGGTAGAAGTCCATGCATTAGAAACAGCACTGTTAAAAAAACAACTCTCTTTATGGTACCCTCTACTTAATAACCAGTTACATACCAAGGAAATGCAACATCTTACCCACTGATAAGACTATAACATCTTAAGATAGAGCACTCACCAAGTAATTTTTTACATAGCACTTATGAACAGACCCAGAAATGGAGTCAAAATCTCAGGCACCAAGTTTTTGAGAATCTACAATGAAACAAAAACTTAAAGGTTTAGGTGTGTTGAAAATTCAGAATAGGAGAGAAAATTCAGAATGTGTTTATGCAAAGGACTGTAGAAGTATGTAAAAAGCTACCCAACTCTATTGTTGAAGCTGATACCCTGTCTTCCTTCAAGAAACAGATGGATGAAATCCTTGGATCAATTAGCTTCCAGCTACCAAAGGGAATAGATGGGCTGGAAAGCCCTCACTAACTTGTAACCATTCTTATGATTGAATGGCATAGTGCAGATCAGTCAAGTTTCAGTTCAATGACCAGACCCTTGCCATGAAGGATCTGAACATTCTTGAGAGTACTGAGAAGTGATGTCACCACAATGGTTTCATCTTACACTATGAGGCCAGCTTAACTCATATGGTTTTTGCACAACATGAATGCATCAAATCCAAAATGTTATGAATGACATCATTGTAATTGCATCACTCATCTACACACTATGAGACCTAGTATATTCAGGTTGTAGGAGACCAACATTTGCAGCTTTGTTACCATTATAACAATGTGATTTTGTGCTAGACTGTTGTATGAATATAACATTAGACAAAAAGTAACTAGTCCCTTACCAAAGCAATTACTGTACCAAAGTTTTAGTAGGCTTTCAATAGTCGCAACAGCTCTTTGTTACAAAACTAATACAAATTATTTCATCCATTAAAGGATTACATACTTTATAGTATTATTTTTCGTGTCATGTTTCTCTGCAATTTTTCATCGGTAAGAACAGATTTTGCTTCTTTTTAAATCAAACTTCTGATGTTGATGGATGTTTGAAAAAGGAAACGTTTCTTTTTATTTCAAAGCCAAGTATAATCATACAGAGGTATATGACATGAACTTTTACGACTGTCTTAAGCTGGCAGACAGTAAGCATCTTCAACATGTTCTAATGGAATGAATAGGTCTACCTTGTTTCAACAGCATCAGTAATAAATATAAATAAATATAACCTCTAAACATCTCAAAAGTCTTGCAACAAAAACTGAAAAATACTGTAATAAGACAGAAGCCAGATATGTGGGTTCTGTATGTGCTCAAGTACCCCACTATTTTTTACCACTTATTGTTAAAGCAAAGGTGAATACATTTTCGTTTTTCATGTTTGGGAGATTACCAAAGGATTGCATATACATAATGTTCTAGAATTATTTTGTTTTGTCACAGACTCCATAATCAATTTATCTGTTACCTGTTATCTGACAAACTGTAGTAAGGAGTCTGTAAACATATTAAATTGATATTTGATCTGCAAAAGTATCTGTGCAGGGCAGCTGCTGCCAAAAAGTGAACTTAAAGGAAACACATATTTCCTAAATGGATAAAAGTGTAACTGGGACCTAACCAGCTCTAAAAACAAATACACATAAACCCCAGTACTGTACTGTACATGCGGCTAACTTGACTTCTGGTTTTGAAAGCATGAACAAGCTGACTGTTACTGCAAAGCCTCTAGCAAAACAATGAACATGCAAAATGGTAGGTTTGGCGAAGGAAAAACATTTTGTGTCTTCATATTCATGGAGATTCTGTTTCACTGGCTATAAATTACATTTTAAATAACATTAAAATAAGAGCAGAAGCGCAATGTGAAGGATCATTTCTTGAATGTTAATGGTTAGAAATGCTCTGCTGTTTCTTACCATTAATGAAGGTAAAGAAAAACTTTCTAATTTTGTTACATTCTCTCTATAAGAAAGAGAGATGCTTTGCTAATGTGAATATGTTCACAAACACATTATGAATTCAGATAAGCACCCCCAGTAGTTTTGGAAAATTAGCTGCAATGGATTAAGATAAGATAGAAATAAGATTTTATGGCATAAAGAAAATTGCCTTGAGAAATTCAATGATGAACAAAATTATAAAAAAGATCTGATTGATCTTTTTATAGTAATAAACAACTTGTCTTTTCAAAATATAGAGTGTTGCATTAATCATACTTATAGTTATTATTTTAATTACTTAACTGTAAAATGTTAAATGTTTTTGGTCTGATTTCATATTAAATTAGATGAAGATTTTCAATTAAATAAAATCTCAAGTTATTCTTTTCAATTTGGCACAAATGTGCATTAAGATAGAAATCATCATTCTTGGCAGTTGTCATGGTAACTCAACATACTTTGAGACATATACAGGAATGTTTTCTTCTGTTAACAAACACTGCAGATGATTCCTAACAATTTTTTGCAAAAAAAGGGCTGGAGAGGGGCAATTAAACACAAGATTATCAATGTTATTTGACTCTGTACAAGAGCAACATTACAGAGACTGGTAGTCTCCTGTGCTCAGACTCTTCCTTACATAATGGTTTGAAGTATTAACAACCTGAAGCAGTCATTTTACATTTTACAATCTAAATGGTGAAAATAGCTCATTGCTTCACAATACAGATTGATTGTTATATGTAGCTGATCAGATCTTCACACTGCCAGCAGCTGTGTGAAAGAAATTTCTCTTTTTTTTCAATTACCGCAGCCAGCTCCAAAAGGCCAATTTAAGCCAATCAGTGAAAGTATAACCAGAGGCTGTAATTTTTTAATGCATTAATTTTTAAGAGAGAACTTGTGCTGTAATTAAAAAGAATTATTTTCAGTAATTTAAAAAAAGACTTTGTTTATTAGTGCAAATATTACAGTAACTTTTAGATTTTAAATGTTTTTTCCCAACCCCTTAGCCTCAACTTTGACCTGGTTAAAGAACAAAACTATAACTTACGAAATGAATAAATTAGTTTCTACTAAACTTCTTAGCTCTTTGTCTATGTAGACACACAAAGATCTTTAATGCCCTTAAGCCTTATAACTTCTTGATTCCTAATTTTAATGCCAAGAATAGAAGTTCATATTATTTTAATTAACATTACCAGAATCTTCCACTATTTTTTTAACTGTTGACCTTACCTATTTTTTCTCTGTATCAAGCACATAATCATACTCATAAAGTTTAGACTATTTCTCCTTTGGGTTTGAATTTTTCTAGCTTTGGGTTCCATAGCATCTCTATTACCTAAATAAAGCAGACATCTTTTTATTTCAATTCCAATTGCAATTAGCCAGCAGTCATTTTACCCTGAAACTCACAACTAACAAGCCACTGAAGCCCAGCAGGTGTGAGCGTGGTCAGTACCTGGATGGGAGACCTAAAAACTAAGATTGCTGCTGGGAGTGGTGTTAGTGGAGCCAGTAGGAGGCTCACCCTGCCGTCTGTGTGGGTCCTAAAGCTCCAGTATAGCGACGGGAACACTATACAGTAAAAAAGCACCGTCCTTTGGATGAGATGTAAAACCAAGGTCCTGACACTCTGTTGTTATTAAAAAATACCGAGGCATCCTGGCCAAATTTCCCACTGGCCTTTACCAATCATGGCCTCCTGATAATCCCCATCTATGAATTGTCTGCATCATTCTGCTCTCCTCTCCATTCTAGATTTGTCACAGCATAGACCACCCACATACTGAAATTTTCCTGGTTAAAAATCAGTGGGAGGTTGGATCCCATGGCATTATTCTGCACTTCCTCCCCTAATATTCAATTCTGTTGGAACTGTTGGGTCACAACACTATACAATGCAGTTGCTTGCAAAATATTGAACTGGTTACTGGCTATCACTAGGCTGACTTGAACCAAGGACATTAAGATTAACCTGTAAGCTCCTGAAAATATTTTTTTTATTTTTAAAATTGGAAATGCTGATTAATCCATTCCTGCTCAGTTTGGAATTGACAATTAGTCACAATTTGCCAGCAGCCATATCACCCTGCAACTCACAACTGGCAACCCACTGAAGGAGATGTAAAACCGAGGTCCTGACTCTCTGTGTTTCCCAGGGCGTTTCTCGAAAAGAGAAGGGGTGTACCCTGGCGTCCTGGCCAAATTTTCCATTGGCCCTTACCAATCATGACCTCCTAATAATCCCCATCTATGAATTGGCTACATTACTCTGCTCTCCTCCCCACTGATAGCTGATGTGTGGTGAGCGTTCTGGCGCACTATGGCTGCCATCGCATCATCCAGGTGGATA